TAGCATCCCAGGTGAGGCTACTAGCATCTCAGGTGAAGGCTCTAGCAGCCCAGGTGATGCTACTGGCATCCCAGGCGATGCCCCTAGCATCCCAGGTGATGCTACTAGCATACCAGGCGATGCCTCTAGCATCCCAGGTATTGCCTCTAGCATCCCAGGTATTGCCTCTAGCATCACAGGCAATGCATCTGTTAATCATCAGATACAAGTCAACCTAGTATCTCAGTCAAATAGGGCCGTACTGCTTTAAACCGAAAAACATGGACTGTATTTTATGGTAAAACGTGGATGGGAAGTGAGCTCCAAATTTGGAGTTTACATGTGGAGCTCACTTTTCTTGACCTATAGAACACCATTCTGGCTTGACCATAAACATTGGTTTGTCGTTCATGATAACAATGGGATGACGACGAGTGTTTTTACAGTACCTCGTTTCGCACCGAAAAACATGAATTGGCCTTTCAATACTCGTTCTAGGGTATGTACATCTTCCAATATTTGTCTTGAACAATACATAAATTGTCTGACATGGTCATTGGATATTGCACTTGATCGTTTTGTTTTGCCCAACATTACATCACTCGAGCTTGTGAAAGGAAATAGTTTTAGTACGGAAATATTATTATCTTTGACCGATGTCTTTTACCAGTTACCACAGTTAAATTCACTTGCATTAGAAGAATCACTATTGATCTATTTTCCAACAAAGATCGTCTTTCAACAGATTCGAACCTTAGTAATTTATGATATGAATCAAAAAAGAAATCTTCCAGATGCCGTTGATGCTCAATATCTATCTTATGCTTTTCCTCGATTAGAAAAAATAAATATACCATTGAATTCTTCGCAAGATTTGTTTTATTTACTCGATGCACTGAAATATTTATCATTCGCAACTTTCCGTTGTCGATTCAATCATGGTATATTTTCTGACGCGATACAAAACAAAACATTATCACGTTATTGGCTCATTTGTGGAAGTCGACGACTATGGGCGAATCGTTCATTCACAAGCCGTATCAAGAGAAACACGATTAATCTCTGGGTAAGTTTACTTAGCACAGGCAGTTTTACTATGTCAATGACAGGTATTCAGTAATAATATATTTCGATCTAAATTTTAGCTTTATGCTGGTGAATATGAAGTCAATATATGGCTCGATCGGCTGTTTACATTAAGACTTTTTCTTGGAATCATCTTAGCTCGAATTCTGGAGTTTTTGTGCTTCATGGTTGATTTTCTAGTCAATCGTGATCGACGTTAATAATTATCATACTTATAAAGCATTTCTTATTAAAACATGTTCATGACGACATTTTTGTCTAACATCATGATGGTGCTAATTTATGACCAAAATTCTTGATATTCTTATAAATGTATCAATCTCTTCTTTTTTACTCTGAATTCATCCTTTCTATGATACCTTTGACTTGAACCATATCAATATTGTGACTCAACTTTACTACTTACGAAGATGAGCATTTGATAAACTGTTAGGTTTTGTGAGATTACTGATCATGAATATAAGATGTTTTCGAAATAGCATCATCAATTGATGAAATGTAGCGTGTTTTTATTTTTATGTTGAAGTTTCAAATTTGAGTATGGTATTGCCTCGACTAACTACAGAATTTCACTCATATCTGTTGCACAACGTTTGCGAGTTTCCCTATAATTACTGTCAACCTCTTGTCAGCCATCTTCACAAGTGGAGCTTTCCGAAAAGATCTCTAGATCACTCACGCATTTTTACCTCCAAATAGAACTCTTTTAAAGGAATTTGTTAATTCATGCAAAATTCTTTGAGAACAATTTTGCACGCATTGAACAATACTCAGACACTTCCAAACTATTGCTTGGATCCGCAAGGTTTGAGAAAAAATCCAACGAAATAGTTTATCATACTTTGTTGCATAGTGAGCAACTGGTTTTGATTGCTCTGAAGACGTCGCTCAAGAGAAAAAATACGATAGCGGCAAAATCGCTGAGTAGTGTTCAAAATGTTACTACAGAAGGAAGTAAACTTTTACCTGTTAATATGTCAATCTCCACTCTTGCATTAAGAACCAGAAAATTCGAGGTCTAACATGCGTTCTTTTGAAAAGGCTGATCTACTTCTAAGAGGTTTCGTCATTCGGTAGAATTCGTCAAGGTTTACTTAAACATGTTTTTGGACTAATCCGGCCGATGATAACTTATGCCCATGATTCTTGGTTTTTATTGATTTTTCGTTCTTTACAACAGCATTGCATAACACTTTTGATTAATTTGTATCGCTTCTCTTTTTTTTTGTTTTTGGTTGCTTGTGCAATCTATCAAACACAGTGAGAGAGACGACAAACATATTTGCAAGCGTAGAAAGTGTAATTATTCACTATGCAGAAAAAACCATCTCATTCTCTTTTTGTTTCGTCTCCTTTATATCTGTATAAGTCAGTTACACTTGTGTATTACACCTTGCATTAAGTTTTTCTTTGTCGTTTCTTCTTGTAGAACATATTCGCATAAACACATACTCGAATATTCCTCGATTTGAGTGTGGGTGTGGGTGAAGAAAACATGTTAGCACCCATCTACACACTTCATTGAGTTTTAAGAGATAATATGATTGTTGGAAAAAAGAACGGAAGAGGAAAAAAATCGAACGACATCTTAGATTTCATCACTCTTCTTCTCAACTTTCATTTGGTTTTCACGTCTAGGGGGAAAGGGCGGACTTGAAGTAGAAAAGTACAGTAAAGTACAAAAAGTACTTCAAAGTCGCTCGAAATAGCTTAAAGTAGTTCGAAGTAGCTTAAAGTAGCTCAAAGTAGCTTAAAGTAGCTCAAAGTACTTTTTAATTACGTTTAAGTAGCTTCAAATTACGTCAGAGTACTTGAAATTATGCTAAAGTACTTTAAAGTATTCTTAATGATCTAGATATGCATAGAACAAAATTAAATAGTGTTGAAAAACTATGAATGATTAGTTTATTCACTTTTTACAACAGTAAATACTAGTAAAACAGAAAAAAAATGAAATGAATAAGTTTACTAATCATGGCCAGGTGTTTGTTGCATGACACGAGATAAACGATCACTTGATAATTTCGTTATCTGACTCGATTACAGCCAGCAGGCCGATTGTTTGTGAAGATACTTAATATTGTCATTTATTTTGACTTTGAAATACGATTTTCTTATAGCAGGATTAATATTATCAACTATTCTTATTCCATTAAAATCTGATTTTGTTGAATTTAATATATTTTCATCATCATCACTAACACCGTCGCTTTGAGTATCAAATAGAATTTCATCAATAAGTTGGTCTGGTGCATAATTGATGACGTCATTATCTTCGTTTTCTTCATCCAATCCAAACTCGTCAGTGGTGTTATTTTCTGTTCGGAAAGAATAATTAATCATTCTTGAATTTTTATTTAACATGTCGAAGATATAACTACTTAAATCATTTAAACAATTTATTTTATGCTCTTTTAATTTATCTAGTATTTTTGAATGTTTAACAAGGCGTAATGCTTGATCATATGCATTTGATATTAATTTTTGAATATCTAAAGTATCAATATTATCTAATTGATGTGATGATTGTAATGGATGTTCGCGTTTGTGTTTGTGATGTATGGGAAATGATAGATCTTTTTCCAAATGATTATGTTTAAATTGATTTAATATTGATAGTTTTTGTGAACGTCGCATAAAATCTTTTACAGCAAAATTGACGACCGTTGAGGATGTACTGCTTAATGATCTTGCATCTCTAAATAATGACTCGCATGGTTGTGAATTGAATAAATGTATATTGATTAATGCTTGCTTTGGTAAATGTTGCTGTTCCACTAATAGTACTAAATATAGTAAGTTGTGTGCGTTCAACTCAACAGACATATATGCAGGTCTAGTAATAAAGTATTTGTTAATTTTATTTTTTCTGTTGCTTGTTGTTTGGCTGGTTTTCGATGATTTCAAAGTTGATGTTTTTTCTAAGCAAGACCACCAAAGGCGACACACAAATACTGCACACCATGCTGATTGAATACCTAAATACATAGAAAGTGTTAACAATTAATCAGTTTGACTCTTTTCGTTTCTAATGTTAAAAATGGACTTACGTTCATGAATACTTGTCGATTTATCAATGTATGCTTTTACTATCATTTTTAACAATGTTAAATGAACAACTGTCCCATTGCTATCTATACTATCATTAAGAAGATTTATTACATCGTCTGATATTAACTTAATACATGAATTATAATTTTGGCGATCTTTAGGATTAATATCACTTTTCGTCAAACCATGATCTAATTTTGTATAACTATTGTTATCGATTAGTTGTTCTATATGTGTCATACTAATTTTATCGTTCCCAATATATAAATCCGCTGTTGATGATAACAATCGATTACGCCATTTGGTAACGATATGTACTGGATCTTGAAAAAACAAGAAGAGTTGATTTCTACTAAGAAAAAACCAAGTCCAGTCATTCGGTATATCTATTTTAAATGCATGTTGATGCTTGTCTAATTTGAAATTGGGTAACGACGCGAAGAAATCACTGGCAAGACGCATGGCACTTATGTATTTGTTATCTGCATCTATTTACAATTAAGATACATTTGAGAGGAACATTGTATAAATAAAATTTACCTGTAGAAAATCCGATAATGCAAACATCTTTATCTAAACAACGTTCAAAAATATACATCCATCGTCGTAAAATATCCATAGCTGTAAATTTGTTGTCAACACCATAAGCAGAGAGTAAAACTGGTTTCGGAAAATTTGTTGGATCATCTTCTGTTGATATACTTTGGAACATATGCACATTCAATAATGGTGCTGTTTCATTGGTACTATAAATGATTTTAAAAATCATCAAATGTATCAGCTTGATAATGTTTCATCAATGGAATACCATCAACAATTCGTGTTGTAAATCCAATGAATGAGTTTGTCGACGAATCGTATTCAATTTTAGGAATGACACCAGTAGTATCTTCAGAACAAAATCCAAAACCTGATTGAAACTTTTGAAGTGAGTCAAATTTAAATTCTGTTTCAGTTAAAGTCATATTCGATTTGTTAATTAAATCACCAAGTGTTGACAAATACGGTATACTACCAGGCATATTTAAACGAACGAACTCATAACATTGTTTACCACCGAAAATATATAAGCATATGGCAAATTTTTTAATTGATTCAGTGTATCTAAAATTATTTGAAGATTGTGTAAGATTGAATACCACATTATCGATGAACATCATTAAAAACCTATTTGCTTTGTTGTTGTTTTCCGAGTCATTTTGTTGATACCATCTAATTAAAGATTTTAAAAGCGGATGCTTGTCAATAAACTCGTTAGATATAAATGTATCTCGAGTTTCATTATTTTCATTTAGTGTTAATTCTTCTTTTAGCTTCTGGTTTAATAATTTGATTAAATATGATAAACTGGTTTGAATACCGGGTTTAACAAAATATTGTCCAGTTTTAGATTTAAAACAAGATTCAGCTTTTATTTTATCTGTTTCTTCAGATTCAATTTGAAAAAAATGCGAATACATCAGGTGTAGATAACAGTTTTCTTGCCGAAT